ATATTTTCTGTAGTACCTTTATGTTTTCTGAGCATTTATAAAATCTGTCACCTACTTACTATCAGATCCAAATAGTGTGCTCGCAAGGTAGGTAACCATATTATTGTCTCAACTGCGGGCTGGTATCGATGGCTCCCAGTAGCAGCCAAATATGAAAACTAACTGCACCTTTATCTTTCGTTTCCGTGAAATTTATTACATTTATATTACGATAATATGTATGAGAATTAATAAAAAAAAACCATATATGTATTCGAAAGTTGCAAAAATTATTATTAGTACAAATGTATCCACTTCAGCTTTCAAATATTGGACGTTAATAGATACCAAAACGTTTTTACAACAAATGTACAACATACTTGGCAAAAGTATTTTACACCTCACAAACACAATACGCATCTTGTTTTATTTAGATCGAATTTAATAATACTAAGAATCAGCACAAATAACCTAGTTGAAAATAACTTTTACATGATTCTAAATGCGCAACGATATATTCAAAGTGATACTGACGATAGCCATACTGAAAGCGTGTATTTGATACGAAGAGACCCTTTTGTAAATGACGGGTACATTATTCTAGCAGACCCCTGTTTGGTTAATCCTACTTGCAAAGGTCAACCTGCACTTAACTCAAATGATAACCGATTAAATTTTACAAAGCTTTTGACTTTGAGGTAGACAAGTGCGAATGTCATTAGACACCATTAACTTGAATGTGTGGTTAAACTGTTAAGTATACAAGACTATATAAAGAACAGTAAATATTCTTGTCCGTTGACGTTTACACTAGTCAAAGTCAATGTCGACAGTGCAATGCACAACCTAACACAGTCAACAAATCCTATGCTATTCGTGTTGTATCTATTCGATCATTTCATTCGGTCGCTAACGGTCACTGATGAGATTGAAAAAAACACCACAATTTATTTATTTTCTGTCAAATGTCTGAGTCTGTAATACGACATCGACGTGCATCCACAATTATTTATAGAGCACATTTATTGAAGTAGCTGTAACTACGTTAAACTAAACCCATTTTATAATTAATTAATTTTATTGTTACTTTATATTATTATTATTTTTGTTTTTTATTGTTCGATGATCAGTTGATGTCATCAGTCCTAGTAGCATCTCAAATCACAGGACGGACATACGGACACGCGACTCCCAACCTCTTCGCATTTTTTTCTGGTACAGGAGGGCAAACAAGCAGACGGGACGCATGATGGTGAGTGACTACCGCTGACGATGGGCACCTGCCACTCAAGTGTCACAAGGGTTTGCCACAATTTGTTGTTCACCCTAGAAACAGGGGTATCGGGGGATTGCACTCAGGTAATTTCACTGACTTGGTGAAGGGAAACGAATGAATTTGTGCTGAAACATGGTATGGCATGTGCCGTGCGTTAAGAAACCTATCAAAACCAATGTTACATGACGATAATGATGTTGAGATGAATGAGGACACCAAAAGAAAATCCGTAATTGAATTATTTTTAATTACGTCACTTGGGTTCGTTTGTACAAATAGAAATATTAATTATGTTACATTATAGGTACCTCTAAGTGAACCTATCTCGTCAGTTCTACATATTTTAAATAATGAATGAGTTAAAGTTATTTTCTACCCACATAATCACGTATACCGAGGGAATAACATTCAGGTCAAGATCGAAACATGTTTCAATGACGTAACACGTCAACCAAATTTCACGATCGAGTTAGTATTGACAGTTATTACTGTTCAACGTTCCCAAATAAATTCTGTCAGTCAGAGTGACTTGTTTACATAAAGACAATAAGTAACTAAATCAAGAATCCACGAATCAGAATATATAAAAAAAACTAGCTGCCAACAGGCACGAATTTGAATGGGTAGTTTTGAGAGATAAAAGAAAATATGAAGACATAAATATTCTCAGTCGAGTTACGTCCTTTATATCCGAACATAAGAAATGGCTTAATTACCGTCTGAGCTAGGCTGGCTTATGGCATGGATCCACGTGTAAACATATTTTTAATAAAACATGAATAGTACCTTTAAATATACTATTCCTTACGTATTTTGTACATGTTTTGCAGCACTCGAGTATTCATACTCGAGTGCATAAGTCGTCTACAATATCTCCACACAATATTTAACAACGAAAACTTAGATAATATACATGTTTTTTAAAGAAAACAATTGTACGGATACATATTATTATGTAAGTAGTAGATATTTAATACGTTATAGGCAACTGTTCGAAATACTAAGAGACTAAGCGATGTACTTTTTCGGTAACGATAAATGACACCAACCAACAAGTCTGATAATCAATCCGCGGTGAATACAGATAGCTGTTACACAGCTTAGGGTTTTGCGGCCTGTGGTTACGACTGCGGATTGTATCGCGTTCGTGTTCCCCATATTGATAGTCTTTCTTATAATATATATGTTCATCTTATATAAGACATATATTTTGAACGTTAATTTTGTCAAGACCGTCTACCACGCAGACGTACCCGATTATTTTGGTCATATATCAGGATTATTTCTGTATACGAGTAACAGGTACGTGTCTACAAAAAATTGCCTTGAATTTGGAAACGTCCATCTCCCATTTATTATTATTAAAGAGTGTTATAAAGCCGCATATTTTTACTCGGAATGTGGCATAGTAACCTTCACACGGCGAGGGAGGGCCACCCAGGATGTCACAGAGACCGGGGGCACGATCACAAAGAGTATATTTAGCTGCTCTCCTTTGATGAGCCAATGCGCAGATAAGCGCATATCGCGACATGCTCCGTTGCGTTTGCCCTCGTAATATGGCGCAACTCACATAGGTCTAGGTTTATATTAGAAGTTTAATTAAACAGATATACAAGAAAGATTTTTCTAAAATTTTAAATAAGTTACTACGAGTATTATGTTAGCTTTATGGTTTAAATTATTGTGGGTTTTTTTTTTTTTGTTTTTGCCCAATGATCTAACGAAACACTTAAGTAATAAAACATATTGAAGTAGAGTGTTTAAATTTGATGGACAATAAGCTTGCTGGTTCGCGCCTCAGCTGAAATGAACAATTAAATTTTATTATTCTACGGCCGACATAAATTGGCAAGTCAAGGTAGCGCCTGTATTCGTTTTGTAGGCGTGGGTTGATTGTGGCCACTTGGATTGGGATTTTTATTGGTTACAGTTCCTTTGCTGCGTCAATATGGGCCTAATAAAACCGGACGGACCCATGTTTTTTTACCTTATTGTTTGGTTAAAGTATATTTTCGAATAAAACATTTCATTCAGAAATTAACTCAGAACCAACAATAGTTGGAAAGTTTCTTTTTTATACGATTGATGTATATTATACACATACATACATACATACATACATACATACATACATATTGATATGTTTGTATGCAGGATGCATGTAATTCCGGTATATACATATTTTGGCATTCGCCTTAAAAAATGGTGCGGTTTTCGGTATTCGGCAAAGCGGTGGCTTTCTTAATCCTTTACATTAGGAAGTAATCGGTAGTAGTTTTGCATATTTTGGATGTAATTGGTTTATAAACACGTCTACATCCCCGAAGGAATAGATACAGCCATATTACACGTCCACATTTCGCCGACAATGTTTCCAGCCCCTCTCGCGTAGTAAGAGACATAGCCTATTGCCGCTAACCAGGTACAAATATTTTTAAATTCATACCTATTATAAATAAAGATACTAATATACTGTGCAGCTTTAGTTGTAAGATTTAATACATATGTCTGTTTATGACACTTAATTCCTGGGAAGACACTAACGTTGTAAGATATAGGCTCGGCCTAGTTTAGACGTAGGGATCATGGATTATTATAAACTCCTAGTTAATTAGTAGGTACATCTTAACTATAGTTATATGTTAGAAATCAAATGTATTATTTTTTGTTGGTATTGGTATCAATAAATTATTATTAATTTAAAAAAATACACCCAGACACAACAAATGATCGTGCTTTTTACACAATATATCCTAGGTGAGAATCAAACCCACGAACTCTGGCTTAGAAGGTAACTACACCAATCCGTAGACCAACAGGCCTACCTATAACAATATATTATTCTTAAAATTGCGAAAAAGAAATTGTGATAAGTAAAAACATTATTTTACAAAATTATGTCAGCCTTATAGTTAGAAAGTACTGTCTTCTATAAACTCCGCATCTATTCGAAATTATTCCCTTTACAACTCTGCTAATAACAACCGCTCACTGAACGAAAATAGTAAGTTTCCCTGAAGTAGTAGAACGGAAGGAAGGAACGCTATCAGAAAACATAATTTTACGTTATCTCATATCGCATTTTAAACATTATATTATTATAACTTTTTCTAAGTCAACATGAACAACATAAACAAGGTTAATAAATAAATTAAAAAAATATTAACAACTTCGATGCTCCTACATCATGCTGAACTGTACCTAATATACTGTATTCTTCATTCCTTAATGTTTCACTCCGAGGGGCTACATTTCTTCTTCAAATTGAATAAATATCTATATATATATAAACGTTAAGTTGGTTTGTGCACGCTTAAAAAATAAAAAAAGTTCTGCACCAATTGAGCACCAGTTTTGACACGATATGCAACCCGTTTCAAAGATCTATTTTTCGCGTTAGTATTGTTCCCCAATTTTCATCAATACAATTTCAAAGTATATGTGAAGCATGCCACGGTACAACCAGTTATTTATAAATTAAATAAAGAATATTCTAAATCGATTCATTAATCATGGAGTTCTTAAGTTATAAACGTAAAAGAAAAACAACAGAATGGAAATTTGTACATTATAAAAGTTCATGATGTCTTCAATAACACCTTAGAACGTTAATGGCTTTGTGATACTCAAGATAATATAATAATGTTATGAAGTGTAGTTAGCTAGAGTGTGTTAGATATTTGCTCATAAAGTAAATGGCAATGAGAAAATGATGGATGATTATGAAGTAGGTAACACTCACGCAATAGCATCGATCATGTCGAGTCCCATCTCGACGGTACAACGGGCGTGGTCGGAACGTGGCTCGGGCAACCCGGACACGCAGTAGTAACAATCGCCTAGGATCTTGATGCGCAGACAATGATTGTCCTGTTAAGAAATTAAATACAAAAAAAACATTTTTAAGACTTTTTTTTATTTTTATCTTACAGACTATATTTCATTAGACCATTTTAGTACTATCATTTTTGTATTCTGTCGAGGCTTTTAGCACAGCTTTAATTATATGAGACATATTTGAGAGAGGACAATTGTACTTACATTGGCTAGTTGATCAAATCGTCCAAAGAGTTCGTTGAGTAAGCGCACAAGTTCTTGCGCACTGCACTGCGATGCGAGCACCGTGAAACCCACAATATCGGCAAACAAAATACTGTAAAAATAGAAGAAAGTTAATTACATGTTTTACTTAAAGAACATTTAATCTACTTTTTTTTAATTCAACATTTAATTTTATTTATTGATTATTTTTTTACCAATGGTTACTTGTAATGGTGTCATGAAAGGGTAATGTCAATCCCGTCATTATTATTATGTATTAATATAGTTATAGTATCTCATCACCAGACTGCTTTAATAGGCCCCTTCCATTTGCTCAAACATTGGGATAATGGAAGGGGAAAATTATAGTATGTATAAAGTAGGTCCCTGACATTATGTTTTTAAGTAGCTTTTAAAATACATACATAATTCAACCAAGTTTGTGCAAAGTGATAACATTACATACATCATTCTTTCCTTCTAATTGCAGAGCTGTTGTCCTGCGTAGTTTGCCCCCTTAGTCGGTTCTTACGATACCAGCGGGATGAAGAGGGGTGGTGACACTACTTATTCTTAATCCGTCACCACGCGAACAAGTTTCTGTCCCCCACCAATTGAATAGTATATATAAATATGTGTGAATATCCTACGTTCAGAACTTTTATACACAACCTCCTTAACTTTCATTGCAATGTATATTAATGGAGCTTTCAGTCGACGAATAAAACAGCCATGAAGACTTGTGTATGTAACTGGTTACGATTGATCATGTGTCGTCTGCAGCGGGAGCGACAACAAAAACGGCAAATAACATTTACATTTGCCCTTACTTGATTACTTTACAATAAACCGACACATATTACCAATCTATAATTTTATTTACCCCTTTTTTTCATTACTTTGTACGTTTCCCAATCTCTTTATACGATCCGAACGAAAACAACATACCATCCGATACGACGATATTTACAATACAATTCACAATGTGTTGTTGTACTTTGTTTATATCGACGGCCTATGTGCAAAAAATATTATTGACTCATTCAAATGCAATGGGTCAGAAGTACAATATCTTTCCACGTAACATACCTACTTGCATGCCTAAATAAAAGTTATTGTTGTGGTCTGGGTATTCATTTCATCACTTGTGTGTATTAACCGTACATAAAAATATTTCGATGTTTAGCTGTGTTCTAAAACGCATATTAAAGTTATGCGTAGTTTGAGTCTAGATATGGTTGTGTAAAATAGCCCAGAATATTATTTATACAATTATTCAGCATTTCGTTAACGCAAGTAGTATTGATACTTTTGACTTTGGTATATTTTAAAAGTCAAAATGTGTAAGAATTAAATGAGTAAGAATCAGTTAATTAGCAACCCTTGTCATTCAAGCTTAGCTTCAGATTACTTCTTTATTTTAATTCGTCCATTAACCGAGCGACCGATTTCAAAATGTATGTGATGTGGCAATTGAATCTTTAAATAGCCTATTGCAAAAAAACACGACAGTTGAAAAATGACGCTGAACTCGTTCAGATTACAATGGATTTCCGATTGCAGTCCGCGCACGCGATACATTATGCAATTGAGTGTTTTTCGATGTGCACTCGCCAAGTCGCCAAGCGGTGACGTGAATCGAAGATGTTGTTTTATCATCTAGAAATAAAACCTTCTATTGGTCAAGACAAAGTACAACTGTTGTTATTAGCAAAGTATATATACATAACTTTGCTAGTTCAGGATTGCTTAGCCAACACGCCATTAATTGCGTTGTTGACATAGACCGGGCTAGGTTGTTTAGCTGCACATTGCATAGAAGACGTAACTATCCTCGTAACTCTTGTTTGTATGAAAAAATATAAGAACTAAATTTAAAGCCAAAATGAATTCTAATTAGGGAGGCAAGACTGGCTAACTCAACTGACCAAATTGCTCAATTGTTAACTACCAAATCTAATTAGCCAATTGGGTACCAGCATCAGCATATAAAAACTCGAGAACAACCATTTACACACTGACTAAGTTTTTATTTGTGCCAGTGAATAACTTCAATAGAATTTTACAGAACGCAGACAGACAGACAATCCCATTAACAGTATATCCGTTTAGTCTAAAAGGATCAAGTCCGTTCGATGCGACAGTCATCCTGTCTACGTGACGTCACTTAGTTTGGATACCTTACGCAATTGCACTAATACGTGGCATGAATATTTATGTGTTATAACAAGAATACACTAAGTATACAAGACTGGCCCACTGAACAAAAAAATAATATAATTTGTACGTTCAATTAACTTAGAAATGTTATTATTGTCTATCTCTGGAGTCATTCCAATACAAATAAAAATTATTAGTTACAACTTATTAATGCAAAACCGAGGCTGAAAACTTTATTGAATTAATTTTACTTGTAGATGTTTAAAAAAAAATCAGAATTCACACAAATTTGTACAAAATGGCAATTTAGTCTCTATCAAGCGGATTGAATTCAAATTTACCTTTTATATATTAAAGTACACGCTTGATTTAAAAAAGGACCTAAAAGAAATTTTGATGTTAAGTTATTCCGCAATAAACGGATTACATTCTGTACGTTCTAACAAAGGAACGCCTTACGCGTGCAAAATTCAATGGGTTCCTTGAAGAGGATAGGAAAATGATGTTTATGCCGCAGAAATGTATTTACGTATTGATAGGAATATTGGTGTATTGATAAGGTAGTAATTTTTGTATAGTTGCACCGCTTATCCAGTATGGATAGGATTAAGACCAGGAGAAGTAGGTATCAGTTTGGGGTCAAACGCTTGCTAACCAGGCACTGTGTATCTGCATGTTGAAAACGACTTAAACGGCAATTTGTTTTGGATTTATGTAGAGGTAAATTATCTCTAAAAATATATGTATAAATTAAAACTAAGATATATGTATAATCTATAGATAACTTTAGTTATTCTGTGTTGGAAGTAAAATAAATATACAAATCACTCCTTTTAACACAATGTACAGTACGAGGCCACCGCAGAATCGCTTTAAGTAAATATTATTGAAAACCAATTTCCTCGCGATGTAGATTTGTAGATTAAATTGCCCCTATGTTGTAGATCAAATTGCTTCTCTGCCAATTGGAATTTACAGAATCAGAGTGTAACATAAACAGACGTTGAACACAATTTAGGATTAATGGAAAACTGTAATAGTTTGGCATTTTTAGTGGCCTTAGAACTTTTATTTAGGAATTTTCCACCCGTAACAGATTACCGGTACCGGTAACAGATGAGTATGGAGACGCAAAGGAGAGCGTTATATCTAGTCTAATTTTGAAAATAAAGTAGCATATGGCGGCGGCTAAATTATGGTCTGGGGAGGGATATGTTTAGGAGCTCGCATGGAGTTGGTGGTAGTCGACGGCGGGAATCTGACTGCTGATTACTGACGGCGGGTATATCAGTTAGATTTTAGGAGATATGTTGTGCCATTTGCACGTTTGGGACTTGCTAAAGAGGACTGTCAAATCAAGAATGCCACCTTCCAACAATCTAAGCGTGTTGCGAAACGCATTACTTGAAGAATGGCGGAAGTTGTCCCAAGAAATAATTTACAACATCATGCGCACTCCTGTATTTCTCACATACGTGTAGTTAGAGCATTGCAAATATAGCATCTGTTGTCCCGCGTTCTGGCATAAATCCAAATTGACTCTGGGTTATCTCACTCTCATCTCCTATACTTCTCTCATCACTTTCTCCCAGACTTTCATAGTATGTGACATGTGCTTTATTCCTCGATTGTTGTTGCATTCCCGAACATACCCTTTATTTTTTTTAATGGGTTGAGTTTGACACCATTCCTTTGGGATGACCTCTTCATGCAACAACATATTGAAGAAGAGTCAGCCACTCATATCCATCTTCTTTCAGTAACTTCCACTGGTATACCGTCGGGGCCAACTGCTTTTCCATTTTTCATACTTCGTACTGCCAATCTGACTTCATCTATACTAATCTCGTTCACCAGTCCGACATTCACATCCACATCCTTCAGCCTTTTATATCTTCATCTTTAACCGACACTCTCCCCTCTTCATCTTTTATACATCTTTTGCTCTTTCTTCCCTGTTTTTGTAATGCGGTAGAGTTCTTTTTGACCTCTAGGTAAGACATTTTGTATTGAGCTTGAGCTCTGGCTACCGCTACCGCTTTTTTCGCCCTTTTTCTTCCACTCTTTGTATTCATTAATTTTGACTTCCTTCATTCTCTCACACCCCTTTTGCATTTTTCTACGCTTTAAAGGCAAGTTTCTTATCTTTCTGTACCTCATCACTCCACCACCATGTATCTCTTTCAATAATGCCTTTTCCTTTCGTTTCAGGTTTTTTTTTCTTTAATAATTAATATGTCAGAATCAGCATCTCAACCTTAAAAAAGAACCCCTAAAAATACCGAAAATCAGATCAGATCGGAAAATAATGGAACCTCCCGCTCCAAAAAAAAAATTTGCTCTGTCCCCACCAGCGATTGGCAACTCTAGTACCTTGACTAAGACTGATGTGCAAGACATAGTAAAGGCAGTAATAAAAACTGCAATTACTGATTTGCTTGCACGATTAAATGCTAGTATGAACCCGCTAGTTGAGGGAAGTAAATAAGGCCAAAAAAATCTGCACAAACAATTAAAGATCTTGAAACTAAATACCAGCAAATGTCCAACACCATTGTAAAACTCACGAATCGCGTAAACCAGATGGAGCAACATGCTAGATCCAGCAATATTGAGATTCAATGCTTTCCGAAGAACGAAGCGGTCATTGGCTGTGCGGTTACAAATAATGATATTTTAAGTTGCACTCAAATTGCCAAAGTAAACCGTGAGTCTCCCCGGCCTCGATCAATCATCATTCAATTAAGCTCCCTAAGACTCCGTGACCAATTCTTGGCAGTATCGAGTAACTTCAAAAGAAAAACAGAGTGAAATTGAACTATTCTCATATTGGATTGGCGGGACCTGAAAAACCTACCTACGTAATCGAGCATCTGTCGGCGTTCACTAAAGCAATTCACGCCGCCAAGAACTAAAGCTAAAGAAATAGGATTCCAGTTTGTGTGATTCTGA